AAGGAAAAACCCCAAAAAAAAAAAAAAAAAAAAAAAGAATAATCTCTAGTTCCTTTTCATCTGCTAATAATACCAGTCCCCTCCACCCTCAGTCCCTATCCCACCATAGGCTTAAGAGCAGCAGTTTGGTTTCAAATGATCAGAAAAAAAACTGCATCCTCTTGTGCTGGAAATCTGCTTGTTTTATAGTCAATAAAAACTAAGAGGGGCCCTTCTGAAAGTTTTGCTAGGTGACTCATAATTTAAACATTTGCCACCAATACTACCCCTCATATGTTTTGAACTGAAGGCAGGGTGGAATGTTATGATCCTCTCTTTAATGTCAACTGGTCTTTGGAAAGACCCCTGGATCAGCAGTATTCAAGCAATGTTGTTAAGAATCTCCCATGAGGGGGTCAACAAGTGACATAATAGTTAAGGTTCTGGACTCCCAGGTGGTCAACCGCAGTTCAAGTCCCAGACCAGGGAGCTTAAAACTCATGCTGGATGCATGTGCATGCGTGTATGCCCAAAATCCCAAGAAGAGAATAGGGAAAAAGGAATTGTGACATAGACATCCCTGCTGGGGAGTGATTTTTTTGCTTTCTGTCTTTCTGTCTCTCTATCTCTCCAGTGAGTTCATGCACCCTGTAGCAAAAATCTCTCAAAAAAAAAAAAAAAAAGAGAAAGAAAAGAAAGAAAAATGAAGAGAAAAAAGAATTTCCCATAGAGCCAGCCTATGTGGGGTGGTTGAGGTGGCTGGATCTCACATGGTCCACTGCAGAATTCAAGTCCTTGATTAGCAGCTTCCCAGACTAGCAGCTTGAAAAACAAGCCTGGTGTGTGTGTATATGCATGTCCAAAATCCCAAAAGGAGAAATGAGAAGGAGGGATTGCAGAGTGATCATCCTCTATAGAGGGGTACACTGAGTGAATTCTCACTTTTCTCTGTCTCTCTGTCTCTCTGTCTCTCTGTCTCTGTCTCTCTCTGTCTCTCTCTCTCTCTCTCTCTTGGTAAAGGTTTTTAGCACATATCCTCTAGCACAGGAAGAAGGAGGAGGAGAAGGAGAAAAGGGAGAAGGAAGAAGGGGTAGGAGAAGGAGATGGAAAGATGAGGAATCTCCTATAAAGCTTGTTACAAGTGCAGATTCCTGACTGATACCCCAATATATTACTGTAGTAAATATGGAGTGGTTCTGGGAATCTTTGTTTTCCCAAAATTCCCCTGATGATCAAGATGCAGGGTTTCTTGAACTATCCTTTGAGGAATAGGATGGGCTTAGAGTTTGCTTTTCAGTTAGCACAGAAACTGCCCATTGTAACAACCTAACAAATATGTACTCCAGACAGTGTTTTGTTTTATTTTATTTTATTTTATTTTATTTTATTTTAATCCTATGGGACTGGGAAAGGCTGACAGGGAAGATCATGGTATGAGGCCCGGTTGAGAGTGTTTGTCTTTTACACTTTCTCTTTCTCTCATTAAGAAATATATACATTCAGGGACCAGCAGTTAGCATAATGGCTATGTCGCTGGACTCCCATGTAGTTGACGGCGGTTCGCGTCCCAGACCCGGTGGCTTAAAACTCACACCGGGTGTGTGTGCATGCATGCTCAAGATCCCGAGAGGAGAGTGGAGGAGAAGGAATTGCGGCATGGCCATCCCCCCTGGGGGGTGACTTCTTGCTTTCTGTCTCTGTCTCTGTCTCTGTCTGTCTGGCGAGCGCACGTGCCCTATAGCGAAAACCTCTCCAAAAAAAGAAAGAAAGAAATATATACATTCA